AGTATGGAAAGTAAAATTCTCTAGTTAAATTAAATAATATAGTAATATTCTATTATCTATTCTTTTAAGCTAGATTTATTTACGTTAAAAAGTAAAAAAATGCATTTTTTTTCTTGTTTACGAAAATAAATATAGAGTAGGTTTAAAAAAATAATATACAGGAGGTCTTATTTAAAAAAAACATAAGTTTGAGACATATTTCGAAAATAACAGCTTCCAGCGAAAAACTAGTTACGCCACTGGTTTCTACGTAAAACCGTTGATTGGAGATATATGAAGGTGCACAACCTTATGGTGCGCCGATTTCGTGGCCCAAAACCTGTCCGAGATCTAGCTGGTGTTACTGTCGTCGCTAGTCAATCTGTCCGAGATCTAGTTTAGCTCTGCACCGCTGCGCGCTGATAGTCGTTAACAGCGCAGCGTTAACGACGAAAAAGTAAAGACAAAGTATAAAGAATAGTGTACCATAGTTCTGCTATCAGTCGACAGAGTGGTCTTAATACAGGTAAAGAATACAATAATTGATACAGTTCATATGGAGTCTTACTTACGAAGGGTATCTCAATAATAAATATAACTTGTTAGTCTTTAATATAGCTTTTAATTTCTAAACTACAGATTAATCCGTAGATTTACGGATTTTGGGTACAGTACGTTAATAATACGGATTTTCTATCATTAAACAATTTAATATAATATTTTATGATTAAACAAAGAACGAATATGTCATTAGTCGCCATTTCCAAGCCAAAACTAAACGTAGGAAATATTCAGTACCTATAAAAGAATGTTTATTTTTGTTGTTTATTCTATGTTTAACAAGAATAACTTTTCAATACAAAAACGCGGATTTTTTATCCCAAGATTACCTATTTTCGTCAACGTATTACCGATATTACACATTTTAATATGGCAATGCTGTCGCTTTCATTTCCACACCGTCTTCGATTTGCCTTCGCTAGCAAAATTAGAGAAAATAAGTGTATTATGTGTTGGTCGCAGAACGAGTAGAGACTCCACTCTACAGGATGGCCCATTTTGGTTGTTTCCATAGGGTATCTAGGAAACCGTGAGAAATATTCAAATTTTGATACTGCAGTCTCGGGTTCTTTTTTTGAAAAAATTACAAACGGATCGTGGCTATCTTGATCGGTTTCGAAGCTACAGGGGGATTCTCAAATTTTGTACTTTTTTAAGATATTTGATAGTTTGTTTATTTCAGCAACCACGGAAAAATTAATTATACATTCTAAAGGCACTTTTCTGTGTAGAATGCAGTGGCGTAGTCAGACTTTTTTCGAAAAAAATATTTTTTGAGATATTGACTATACTTATGTATTTTTAAATAGAACCCCCTGTATATTTTTAAATTTTCCTATTCAGTTTGGCATGGGCTTCTCGAAAATATATAACACTCTATATTTATTTTCTCTATTAACCTCAACATTTAAAATTTTTCTTAAAGTCGTCGAGTAACAAAGTAAATGGTTGTCATGGTGATCGGAACATACCTTTGATGGATGCGGGATATTTCATTTCAACAGATTGAAGTGTGTGTATTTTAAATAATAAAAAAAATAGTAAATTTGAAAATTTTGAGAAATATAATATGTTAGAATGTTATATTGAGTCTAACAAACATAAGCAAATGGCAGCTGATTTATATTTTGAGCGGTATCCAGAGCGCGAGCAACCAAACCCAGCCATTTTTAAAAGGTTAGAAGATAGTTTAATCAATTTTGGATCTTTTCAAAAACCGGGCCTGAAAAATTATCAGTAAGAAGATGAATAAAATCAATATATTAATTTCCTCGTCACACTTTTGAAAAGATCCAAAATTGATTAAACTATCTTCTAACCTTTCAAAAATGGCTGAGTTTTGGTTGCTCGCGCTCTGGATACCGCTCAAAATATAAATCAGCTGCCTTTTGCTTATGTTTGTTAGACCTCAATATAACATTCTAACACATTATATTTCTCAAAATTTTCAAATTTACTCATTTTTTTATTATTTAAAATACACACACTTCAATCTGTTGAAATGAAATATCCCGCATCCATCAAAGGTATGTTCCGATCACCATGACAACCATTTACTTTGTTACTCGACGACTTTAAGAAAAATTTTAAATGTTGAGGTTAATAGTGAAAATAAATATAGAGTGTTATATATTTTCGAGAAGCCCATGCCAAACTGAATAGGAAAATTTAAAAATATACAGGGGGTTCTATTTAAAAATACATAAGTATAGTTAATATCTCAAAAAATATTTTTTTCGAAAAAAGTCTGACTACGTCACTACATTCTACACAGAAAAGTGCATTTAGAATGTATAATTCATTTTTCCGTGGTAGCTGAAATAAACAAACTATCGAACATCTTCAAAAAGTACAAAATTTGAGAATCCCCCTGTAGCTTCGAAACCGATCAAGATAGCCACGATCCGTTTGCGCCATTGTAATTTTTTTCAAAAAAAGAACCCGAGACTGCAGTATAAAAATTTGAATATTTCTCACAGTTTCCTAGATACCCTATAGAAACAACCAAAATGGTCCACCCTGTACAGCATTTCAGACGTAAGGGATAAGCGGAAATGAAATCAGCCTTGTCACGAATTTGCCCATTTAGGTAGCATATATTTCCACTTCTTTCAATCAATGGTAAAACTCCATGGAACTCAGTTTTCATCTTTTCGATAAGTTATAAGATATAATTTCTAGTTTGTTCTGTATTTCAGGGGCCAAACAGGCTAGGGTAAATCTTTTTATTGTTAATCTAAGGGTAAATTTGTAAGGCACTTTAGTTTGAAAATCCATCATTGTATCTACTCATAAAACGAGAACCCTATAAAACACACGAAAATGGGACACCCTGTACAGGGATATCATATCTTATTAGAGATTATTAATAATATTGTTTGTAGGCACTTTCAACATTATGTGATGGTTCTGTATGTATCTATAAACATAAAACTATATAGGTGGAGCAAAAACAAGAAAACATACATTACTAATGAGATTAAAAGAAAAGGTTTTAAAGCCTTGGGTGGCAAAATTTCGACATATTCTCGTTGAACAGGTGTGTATAGGACTTTTGCGTGTGTATAATTTCACATTCCGTCGGCTTAAAAAGCAGAAAATACGTCTGGTAATTTGTATAAATAAGTTGAGTTGCCAAGCAAAAAATGGCAGTGGGTTGCATTTTCTTTTTTTTTAGAAATTTCGAATACCAAATGTCGGTCTTGACCACTAAGACACCATTTTGGAAATATCTTCATTTGCTTTTCTTCAAAAATAAATGGCTAAAAAACGAACTTGTTGGCCAAAATTTGAAAAGTTTTTATTAAACCTATATACAGAATTACTAGTTAAGCTGCACATATTCTTTGAACCATTAAAATAAGTAAATATGATAAACTTATTTGTTTAAAATTATTATTTTAATTTATTGGAAATAGTGTGTTCCAGAATTTTACATACAATTTTAAAGAAAGAAATGCTGATACAATATATTATATTGACAAATAAAAAACGTTCATCAGAAAAATTCAGTTTCTTTCTTAAAGTTTCATTTGCATTACCTTATTTAAAATACTATTTATTTAAAGATTGTCTATGTCGAAAGAACCTCTAGTAAAAGTCTAATAAAAAAGAGCAAGACTTGCAAGAGTCCTGCGCAGCAAGACCAAGACTGGACCGTGTAAGACCAAGAACAAGATTACTTAGCATACCGAAAGACCAAGGAAATATTGGTCTTAGTCTTGTCCATCACTATAATAAATAAATGCCTTTATTGTCAAAAAATCTTACAATTTGTAGACAAAGGTAAAGTAAACAAACAAAGTGAGCAAACAAACAAACAAAAGAGAATACAAAACATTATACAAATTACATTGTCAGTCTTATTGTTTAAAATAAACATTTATAAATGTTTATAATATCAAAGAATAAAAAAATAAAAATAAGATTCAAAAATATTTAGTAAGTTTATAGTAAATATCAATGAACTCTAAATAAATTAATTTCGATGTCATTGGTAAATATAGTAATAGCAAATATTAGACCAGTATTTACAAGATTTGTCTAGTAAAAAAAAGATTTCAATGCTTTGCGAAATGAAGAAAATAGATGGATTTGATTTCAAATGGCAGGTGATTGTGCATTTTTTTCGAGTTCTATAATATTGAACATTTAACTAACTCTGAGCGTGGGGTAGGTAGATAAAGACCTTGCTCCGCGCGTGGATAAGTGTGAGATGGCCTATCTTGAGAAGCTGATACATGCTTACGTATTATGCAAACGGAGTCAAATATAAATAAGGAAGGAAGAGTTAATATTTTTAATTTTTTTAAAAAGGCCTGGCAATCAGTTCTGCTGTTTAGTCCCAATGAATATCGAACAGCTCTCTTCTGGAGCTTGAAAATGCGGTCAAATTGAGTCGCACAACACATACCCTAGAATGGAAGGGCATATCTGAGGTGCGACTCAAAAAGTGCATAATAAACAGTTCTAGCCACTGACAAGTTAAGCTTGCAAAACAGGCAGAGCTTAATTTTTTCGACAAAGCGTCGATATGCATGTCCCATTTCAGAGAATTGTCTACAACAAGCCCTAAGAATTTTACAGATTTTACGAGGTCAATGGTGGTGTTGTTAAGTACAAAAAGCTGCAGCGAGTTTTTATACGACAAAGCTTTAGTTTTAGAAATGTTGAAACTCGGGAGGTTCGAATCGCACCAAGATTTAATGGTGATTAAGTCATTTGATATAATCCTATGCCGTGACGTCCTTGTTGCTCCAAGTGAAGCTAGTGTCGTCCGCAAAAAGACATATTTCACCACTGATGTTTATGTTAGCAATGTCGTTAATAAAAAGAAGAAACAAAATAGGGCCTATATTTAAAAGAGTTAGGTAGGAGCTATTTTATTCTTTCTTCTGGTTGGTTTTACCCGCTTTTTTTGAATAATACTAGATAATAATAATTTAAATCAAAACACTTACCTCATATTGTTGGTAATTGGCTAGTGTAGAATTTGAGTTGAGGTAAAATCTGGACATCATGCCATTCTCTTTAAATGTCATGTAAGCACCACCGGGGTATTTGGAATCAATACCAGCGGCGATGCCAGCTACTTGTCTTCTTATAGTCACTTTGGTACTTATAAATAGTCCACCAAAATATTATAATGTTCGTACCAATAATGGTTCGTACAGTTTTCAGGTAATTCACTGAACTATTTTGAATAAGTGTTTCTTGTTTTTGAGTCTAACATCTGTCTAGTTCAAATTGAGTCAAGTGTACTGTCAGTTTGGAGACTTGATATTTTTTCTGCTATATTTTTTTTTCTATGTTGATATCACAGATGCTATGGAATAAAATCAAAAATTAATGAAAAATTTAACGGAGATTTGAAGAGTATTTTCTAGAGAACACTCAGCTATTGATGGTGAATCCTAAATAAGTGCAAATATTTTAGGGGTATTTAATTTCGACCCCAGATTCGGTTATTGAGTTTTTTTCGCGAAAAAAATTTTTGAAAATTTGGAAAAAGATTTTGTTGATAATATGGTAACATAGGTAGTAGACTAAATTTACAAAAAGAAAATCCCTCGGAAAATCCAGAAAAGATCCAGTAGTTAGTAATAATAGGAATATATTTTTGTTAAATATTCAAAGTAAAATTAATATCTCGGTTATTTTGGATTGGAGATTGGAGGAGCCCTGAAAATATTTGCACTTATTTAAGATTCACCCTTTATAGGACTGTTTTAATTCTTAGTGTAAGAACATGATAGCTATTTATTGAAAAAGTAAACTTGGTGAACTAAGCATAGATTTTTGGAAATTCATTCGTTCGTCCCCTACTGCCGGGTCTAGACCAAGGCGACAAAAAGTAAACAGATTTTGAGACAAAAACAAGACAAACTTGCGACAAAAAATGGGGAATTCTGACAAGACAAACTTGAGACAAATTGTCCACACCGCAAGGACAAAAGTACAACAAAGTCAAAAGTTTAGTTGTTGCGAATGAGTTTTATTAACCATGTATGATTTCACTGGTCTACTGTTGGCAGCACACGCCATCCAAAGTCTCCGAATTTTGAAACAAAACAAAAATGTCGCAGAAATGTATTGAATTTGTCGCAATTTTGTCGAAAAACATGAATGTTTCTGTCTTGTCATTGTTTTGTCGGCTTGGTCTGGCCCGGCATAAGGATGGTAAAATTATGGATGAAAGTTTGTATAAATATATTCATTACTATTAATTCTTCGTACTTTTCGATATAGAAGTATCAAATTAGAGTTACCTACTTAGAGTTACTATTCATATAGAAGTATGGAATTTTGCACAAAGGTTCTTAAAGTGAAAACAAAATATTTTTTTAATCATTCTTTAGGGATTGAAAAAGTATATGAAAATTTCTATTTGTTCCTATTGGAGTCTAAAACAAGAAATATTAAATTATAACTTCATTGGGCACTTTTTATACCTTTACACCAATCACGTCATCTAAGGGTGGCTGCAACGACGTCCCGTAATCCTGTTGTTGAAACATAATAGCTGGTTTTTATATATAAAAAACCAATTGTTATGTTTTTACAGCAGGATTACGGGACGTCGCGCGTCGTTGCAGCCTCCCTAAAGAGCAATATATGATTTTTGAAAATTTATTTCTAACGATAGTGAAATCGTAGATTATTTTTTTTATTCATTACTATTCTGATATACCGGGTGGTGCATAGGCGTGGTAAACATAGGAAATCGCATACAAATTTTGCACTATCCAGATATTGGCTCCCCTGTTAATTTTTCAGCGAAGTTGTAAATAGAAGTTTTGAAGGTCTGCGTATGCTGAATGCACATGCCAATTTTGGACATTTTGGACAAGGATTTTAAGTAAAAGAACAACTGTATCTATTTTTAAATTATCACCGAACAAGTAACAATGCAAAACCAGGCAAATGTCAACGTACCTTAAGTTGTCATCCTATAGTTTTGTCAATGTCAAATTGTATTTTCTAAACGCTAGGCTTTTGCCTTATTCGAACCAGTTTTAAATTACAAAAATTCATTTCGGGAACACTAAGCGTAGGTACTATGATGTTGTAGTTTGGAGAGCACAACAAATTACATTTAACAATGATAAAATCATAAGCTGGCAACTTAAAGTATGTTGACATTTGACTGGTTTTGCATTATTCTTCTTCTTTCAGTGCCTATCCTCTATGGATTTTGGCAATCATGTTGGTCCACATAATCCTATTAACAGCCGCCCTGAATAGATGTACGGTCGTTAATGCATTATTACCAGTTTAAATTCAATTTAAAAATAATTGCAGTTTTTCTTAAATTGCCTAAAATCGGCTTTTCCAAAATTGTTCAACTTTGGCATGTGTATTGAGCATAGGCAGACCTTTAAAAAACTTATTTACGACTTAGCTGTAAAATTAATAGGACCAATATTTGGATAGTTCAAAATTTGCATGGGATTTCCTGTTTATAATGACAATACACCATCCGGTAAAAGTATGAAATTTTGCACATAGGTTATTGAAGTGACGGTTGAAAAAGTAGATATATGAAAGGTCCTGTAGATTTACATATTATCCTGGAGTCTAAAACATGAAATATTAAATTATGATTTTATTGAGCACTAGAGGCTTTTACTTTTTACACTCATTTAGGGAGCATAATAAGGGATAACAAACTGTATACGTTTAGGTTTAGAACCACGAATAATGATTTCTGCCATTAATGAGAAAAATAAAAATGTATCTATTAATAAAAATGCATGAGAAATAAATAGCCGATTAAAATAATAGAGACACACCGAATAGCGGATTTTCCGAATAGCCGAATACCTAGGTAATATGCGTTGGATCTATTGTACCATTGCACCGAATACCGAATATTCGGCAACTATTCAGCAGAGCGTAATATTGATGGGGTTCTTGGACACCACTAACTATAATGTACCACCATGATATGATTACATATGGTATGATCGAAAAAAACCGCGTCCAGTTGTCTTGGAAATGACGATCGATGATATTTCCAATAAATATAATTTTACAAAATTTAAAAATGACATCAATCTTCATTTCATAGCCATCGTTGACGCCGTTCTTTTTTGATCATATTGTAAAAAAATATATGTATACGAATTTTGTGTTACATTCAAGTCATTCCACATCTTGTTAGGAAATAAAAATTAATTTATATCATTTACATATATTTCTAAATTCTAAATATATTAATTGCTGAGAAGCTTGTTTTAATTCATCACAACTTAGCACTAATAAATGTTACGTATTATTTTTATAATTTAGAGTTTTATGTGCATTTTTTTTATAGTTTAGTATTCGGTATTCGGCCGAATAATGTGCACTATTCGGTTGAATACCGAATATTAAAAAAAGTGGCCGAATAGGCGAAGCACTGAAGTAGCCGAATATTCGTCGCATAAAATAGTAAAATTAGCTGACAATTTTGTTGAGTTAGTAGAATTCACTAAAAATATTGAAAAAAACTTTAGAGTCACTTTAGTACTACCAAAACTCAATAAAGTACCACAAGGGTACCACCTATACATATAAACCTTATCAAATTAGAATTATATTATTTTCTTCTTTAAAAAATACTCCACAAATTTACCTATTTAAAAGAATTAAAAAAAATACTTTTTACCTTATTATATTAATTTTGGTACTAACGAATCATTGAGGTACTACCTAAACTATAAATTTTAACAAATTCCCGTTGAATAAAACACAAAAATTGCTTGGACAAATACAAGGAGACGTATTTAATTTTAATACCACTTCGGTACTACAAAAACACTAGTTTTCCACGAAAATCACACTCGGTACAGTCTTTTATCGCCGTATTTCCTACAGCATCTCGCAAGACACCGCCGCAACAACACCACGACGGACGTTTCGACACCTGAGGGCTGCGGTTCGCGACTGGATGCTGCCCGACTATCAGCGGACCCCGCTGGCTAGGGGGGCCCCTACCCCCCTTTGGCGCTGTTTCTGTTCCCTTCAGGGCAGCAAGGGCTCGTGGCCATTGGTCGGGCTTGCGCCGGTGGCGCCTCCCCCTGGGGTTCGCGGCCGTGCCCCTCGGTATAACAGGGCCCGAGGCTGATGTAGAGTCGAGCAGTGAAGGGACAAGAAGCATAATATGTTACGTGTATTTGTAACAGAATGCGTCTTTTTCATGGCCTTTTTCTCTCATTCAAAAAAAATGCCGGTCGATTTAAATATTTTATAGACTTTTAAATGCAGTGGCGGCGCGTGCTTCAACACTTTGGGGGTGTACAACCTCACCCGAGCACGCTCAAATGGCAAGAAATGATGTTGTTGGGCTATCAAATTGTCAATCTAAGATTGCAAATTAATGGATCTTATTTTATTCAAAATACTACTAATTGTACCTACTGTCTTTAAATAAAAAAACAACTTTGAGACCAATTAGATCGAATACTGCGATGAGCAATAAATGAAGTGATTAGGCGATGCTGTAGAATAAATCTGTTGAAAGTTGATAACACGGGTGGAATTTGAATGTTACACAAAATATATTTAACTAAATACATTCATTGATTAAGAGTTTTGCCTAAAAATTAATAAGAAAACTCAGTGGCGTGCAGTGCAATGCATAGCAAGGTAGGCAAACATTGGCAAAATAAGAATAGCATAAGTAATTAAATAAGTATAATTATTTTTACTCTAAATTGGTAAAAGAATTTTCAGATTTGACATTACTGCGCAGGACAGCGGTCGACACGGACGAAATTAAATCACGCGTTAGGTACCTACTTCCTTATTCTATCTCTTTCTTATACATTGACCTTCCAGCCATTGCGGTCAGCAGAGTATACACAGAAGATTTGCAAAAACACTACTTTTAATACCTCATTCAAGACAATATCATCATCATCATCAACCATCAACCAGCCACTAAAGTCCACTGCTGGACGTAGGCCTCCCTCGTTTGCTTCCATAACTCCCTATCTTGAGCTATTTGCATCCAGTTACTGTGGATACACCTTAAGTCTTCATGCCATCTGGTTGGAGGACGGCCTCTGCTCCTGAATGCTTTATGTCTTGGTTTCCATTCTATTATTTTCTTTGTCCATCGGTCATCGTTTAGCCTTGCAAAAACAATATAAAGAAAATCAAATGGAGCGCCTTTATGGTAAATTTTATACCATGTGCGTCTCAAAAGTGGCTCACCCCTATAACATTTTTATTTTTTTGTTAAAAAAACGGGATTTGGTATGTTAGTATATGACATAAATTAGGATTGATTGACGTATTCAATTTTTTTCGGCCACTTCCGGTTTCACCTTGATGAAGAATTAGTGTTTTTAACATATAGCCATGGCCCTCTAGATTGAATTTTAAAATACAATTTTTTTATTAAGCGAGAATGTCAAAAGTTGACATATGATATGTCATTCTATTCAGAATGTCATTTTCTACCGAATAAAGTAAGAAAATACCGAGGGTGCCATTTAAAAATCAAAAGTTGTAGTCATTTCCGGTGAAACAGGAAGTGACCAAAAACAACTGAATACACCAATCAATCCTAATTTATTTCATATACTAACATACCAAATCTCGTTTTTTTTCTGAAAAAATAAAAAAGTTATACGGTTACCCACTTTTGAGACGCACCCGGTATAGAAATTGTGCGATAACAGTAAGTAATCGTAAGTAAGTAGTCAAAAATGATTTAAATATATCTTAGGTAATCTCTAGAATAAAAATAAGATAACTGATAAGCATGCTTATTGCGAATATAATTGCCTTTTTGGGTACATTATAGGTATGCACGCCACTGAGAAAACGCCACATAAGAAATTCGAAGTGTTTATGTTAATAATAATTCAACTCATCAACTCTATGACGAATCGTCCTTAAAATGGTAGACTGTATTTCAAAAAACAACCCTATATAGATTATGATATCATAGTATTTTTAGATAATTTTATTTCAAATCCATTGAACGTTTTGGCAGTAGAATCGGAATAATATTTCATAAATACCTGATCTTTGGAGTTAAGGCACAGTATGATCGAAAAAAACGGCGCGATAGACCGGTGTGGAATGACAATCGATGATAATTTTGGCGAGGTAAATCTCTAGACGTCAGTTGACATAAAACTATCAAATCAAAACTAATATTGATATAAAACTTGCCAAAAATTAAAACTAATTATAAAAAGATTACAAAAGGATAGAACGTTTCTATACAGGGTGTCTCAGAAATAAGTGCAAGCATTTTAACTGGTAGTACAGTTCAACCCCAGAAATACGCCTGTTATTATACCTATACGAGGGTTTTTTCGCGAAAAATTTTTTTTGAAAATTCTAATTTTTTTACAAAAATTTTTGGAGATTTTTTTTAGTTTTTAGTTAAAAAACATAATTTCTTGATAATATGGCAACATATACAGGTATTATATTAAATTTACAAGAAAGAAAATCCAGAAAAAATCCAGTGGTTCTCAAAATTTTAGCAAAAAATAATTTTTTTTTTGAAATTTTCAAAGTAAAATAACTCCGTTATTTTGCACTTATTTGAAAAACGATAAAGAGAAAATATGTTTCTTTTATCGAGATCTACCACCCCTTAAAATACATGCACTTATTTCTGGGACACCCCGTATAACCTAACACACAATTCTATTTCAACATTTTTTTTTCCTCTTATTTTAAATTAAACCATTTAAAAATCGTTTTAATTCAATATAACAAATAAACCCTTAAGGGCAAGTGGCAGTAAAAAAGAAGAGTCAGAGCCAAGTAATGACTTCTAGGGCTTGACCTCGCTAAAATTATCAATGAATGTCATTCTCCAGCCTGATTTTTTTATCGTATGGTATACTTCATATTATATAGAGACAGCTATACATATCTCCTATTATATCCCAACACAAATATGCAGAATATGTATTAAAACGTCAACTTTTTGAACACAATACGCGCCTCTATCGATATTTTCCCTCCGAAACTCCTGTATCTCCCCCACCGTGACTGCGGGGCTTCCCCCCGGGGCGGCGGCGATCCGCTGCAATTCTCCGTCGCCATTGGACGAGGGGGACGCAGCCCGGGGCCCCACCAGGCGCGTCTTTGAGCCGGTCGGTGCCGTGGGTGGCGCGGGTACGCGAATCCGGGCCCCGCACAGGCCCGTACCTGCATTATTTAGGCCCCGTACTCTTTTATTCCGATGATTTTGTTGTTTATTGATTGAGTTTGATCTTTTTTACTCAATTCCCGACAATAGAACTTCCATACAGGCGTTTAAACAACCCGACGAAGTCCATCAAAGCAAATTTTACAGAATACAGAATACACAAAATTATTTTTTGTACGATCGTGCAAAATGTAGTTATTCTTACAATATCTCAAAAGTCAAATTTTTTGCACTAGTGCAAAAATAAGTTACTTTGAATAAACGCCTTGCGACATTATTAATGACGACTTTAACTAAAGAGAAAAAAGTTGTAATTTTTTATAAACATTTGTCAAATCCTGGAAGATAAACCAAGTACCAGTACTGGACACCTTGCAGCAGCATTCCGGAAAAGAGTTTTAAGTGAAGAACAAGAATCCGAGACCACCACGAGCAGAAATCAAAATAAAAGTCAAAAGACTACTGGAAATGAAGTTTGTTCGTTAAATACCTTACTGAATTATTCAAACTCCGACATATTACTGTAAAAACTTTTTAATAAACATCTAAATAAAAAGAATTTCAATTCGATCATAGAAAAAATGTTGTGTTCAACATGTGCAAAAAGCATATTTGTTGCACTCAGCATGATTGCAGCTTGATCGACTTCGTCTCGAGCTGCAAAACTGTTGTGCAACATGTACCTTTTTAGTTACACAAATAACTTTTATAAATAATGTTATGAATATTAAAAAGAATAATAAATCTAAAAAATTGAATTTATCTGGTGCAATATTCCTTGAAAATATCACGTATAAAAATCTATTTCAGAAAGTTTTCTTGTAAATTGGGATTTTAATTTGGAACATATTTGGAATATGTCGTGTTTGGCAGGTAAAGAGCTGAATCATGTCGAGTTTTGACAAAAACGTCGTTGAATGCAACCGAAATAAAGTTGATTTTGTTATTGGATTGAAATTTTATAAAAAAAAAACAATAAAAGTACGCAAAATAACAAAAGTACGAATAAACATCAAAATTAAAATTTTCAGCAGAACAAAACTTCTTCACTTAGTCAGGTCACATTGACATGTGAGGAACATTTTTACTTATTTTTATCTGCAGAATATACTGCCAAAGTTTCTCGAATACAATTCGGACCACCCTGTATATTACCAAAAAAAATTGTCGCTAATCAGCTGACAATTATTGTGACATAATTCATGAAATTTGGGAACAAAATAGTTGAAAGATTGTTGAAAAATAAAGTAACAATAAGATTTTTAGTAGCCGCACGAAAATTTATAGACAGAAATACCATATGATGGAGAAAAAAAGGCGTCAGAGATAGCTTGGAAATGAAAATCGCTGTCATTTTGTGTAAAATTATATAGGAAATGTCATTGATCGTCATTTCTAAGCTAACTGGTCGGCTTTTTTTCGATCATACGATATAGAGTCGTCAGAGATGGATTCGAAATGAAAATCGTTGTCATTTTGTATGTATGTCATCGATCGTCATTTCCAAACCAACCGAAAGCCGTTTCTCTCGATCATACGGTACCTACGTATTTGGGCAACATAACAAATTAAACCTTTTATGACATAATTATTTAATTAAAGTTTTTTTATATATCTACCTATAAAATTAATCTGAAGAATTAACTCTAAAAATCGTTTATCTTCTTTAGAAAACACCCTATTTATAATATATTATTCTTGGTCGATCGGTACCTTTCAAATAAACTGCACCATTCAATTATCTAACATTTATCAACCACAGAACCAAAAAAAGCACCTGTAGTACTACCCAGATGAAAAAAAAAACATCCACAGGAATCTTTTCGTAGGTGTATATATAGTACCTATCGCAAGTTTATAATATAGATCGGCTCAGAATATAATTATACACATTTGCTTTCCGTTCCGAGTACGATAACGACCGGGTTCAACAAAAAAAAATGGTACCGCACAATGGAGGTAGCAATTATAAATACGGCAACATTTATATAATCGTTTATCATCCAGAAGTACGACAGAAGAAGGAAAAGCTATGTGTATGCGGCACGTTCTGTATTTTTATATTTGTCTGCCAAAAATTAAAAAAAATCCACATAGATACCTATATTTCAAACAACACACTCGGTATATTAATGAGATACATTACTATCGACCAAAATGGCTGATGTATTATCCCGTTATACAGGATTGGTAAAAAAGGGTCCCTCTTTTTTTATAAAGAAGCCCTGGAGCTGTTTGTTCGTGAGCCCCACCCAGAAAATCCTGATTGAATTCTCTATACTGTTACCGCTTTTTATTTTTTATATTTTATATAGTGGTTGAAAAGATTTGTCATATCTGTCAGTAATAAACTACTAGCTGATTGTTAATTATATTATTTTTATGTCAATTTAAAATAAACCCTAAAAATTTTACTTATTGTCATAAATCTTCCGTCATATGCATTCATGTGAAAGACATTAACAAAAAATTGGTTCATTAAATTTTTCGTACATTCAATCATGTCGTTCGAATACTACACTAACTGGTGGATAAGATCACGCAAATCTTTGGACGAACTTAACCAATATGATGAAAATATGGGTAAAAAGTTTAAGACCATAAACGACAGAAGTCTAGCAAATGATCTTATTGGAGGTTTATACGCTAAATATTGCATGATGGTACAAGATTTATGCGCTTGTGTTGATCAGTTGGCACAGGTAACACTTTAAAATAGCTTAGGGCATCATAAGTACTACCAGGGTTGCCACCAATCCCGATTTTGTCGGGAGAGTCCCGATTTTGATCCAAAAGTCCCGCGTCCCAACGCCAAGCCTTAATGTCCCGATTTTTATTTGTTTAATAGTCATATTCTTATTAAACAACAAAATTGCAAAATTTATTATTAAAAATACATGTTTATTAATTTATTGAATTTAAAAACAGTTCTTTTCCACGAAATTAAAATCTTAGAAATTTTAGAATTAAAAGAAGTAGATACTGATACTCTGTTTAATGAATATTCGATAATAAAAACTTTCGTAAAGGAAATTTGCCAAAAAGGATATAAAAAGTATAGATAAAAAAATAAAGTTTTTTTAAAACTAGAGTAAATTATATACCTTTAAGGTTGTTATTTATATATTTTCACGTATGATGAAGTAGAACACTGTAGACAGACGCTAGAAATAGATGTTCAGTTAAGCTCATTAGAACACTGAAAAAAAGGATCTCTCAGTCGAAATGAATATGACTTTGACCCAAAAGATTGGCGCTATTCAATAGGGCCAAGAACGACGTTTCTTTGCCCAAAGCATTAACTATCATAAGCTTTAAAAAATAATAATTTCATAAGCTTTAAAAAATTACTTTAGAGAATAGAAGAATCTATCAGTCCAAAGTATTTCACTCTTGACCCAAAATGAATATGCAAAGAAGTTCTTGCTACAAGAACAATTGTCTCTTTGATTCATGCAAAAATTCTTGATTGAACAGGGACATTTCTTGATTAAAGAGACACTCTTCTTATACCAACAGCGAATACTGTTGACTCAACTAAAATTTATTTTGATCTAAGAGAAGTCTATACATCATATACAGGCATATTACGAGGCATATTATTTTCTGATAAATTTAGGTTTTCCTGGTCTGTAGTAAGTAAAGTGATATTATTTTCCCTGATATATATTATTTCTGCTTCTTCACTCCTTGGTATTTTTTGGGGTGGTTCATCACTCTACAAATTACAAAAAAATGTTACATCACGATTAATCAAAGTAAAGCAAATAAATTATTAAAATTATAAGCTTTGGACACATTTTGAATTCTTTAATACGACGAAATTCTAAAATTTTTGTAATTATTTGCATAAAAAAAAACGATACCTATATTCTTATTCTATCTATAGTCATGCATGCATTATCTAAACAGGTGCATAGGTAAATGTCTCTTACCCTCAAATATAGCAAATAAATGCTCTAATTTCCACTTTTTCAGAAAATCCTTTAAAGAATTCATATATCCTAAAATTTGTCCATAAAAAATGACAAATGCATGCTAATAACGATTACTAATTTGTTATACGATATGCGTTTAAAAAGCAAATTGTGCAGAATTCCAAGCAACAAAACCCGTGCGTACTATGATGTGCGACCTATGAAATGCGACGTACGACTGATCGAACTGCGAACTGCCGACTGATTGTATATACCGTCGTCGTCTTTGCGTCTCGTTATTATTTTTCATCAAAAGAGTATTTAGCTATTGGAAAAATGGCCATGTTTCTTGAATGAAGTACTTCCTAGCGTATTTTTCTTATTATCTTAAAACAAAGTAACTTGCACTTGGTTGAATGAAAATAGATTCAAGAGAAATTTCCGAATTTTTCAAGAGAACCAGTTTCCTTGACTTAAGAGAGTAAAGGCAAAATATTATCTTTTACGCTAAAATAAATTCTCTTGCCACTAAATTTTTTTTTTCAAGAACGATGACGACTTTAGTTCAAGTCTATCATTTTTATCAGTGAACGGAACTTCAAATCTCATTACTTTTAGTAGGTATATTGCATATAAGAATTTTTGGATTTTATTAAAAATGACTAGGCTCTTATTATTACAGTAACAAAAGAAATAAAAAAAATATTCAATACAGTTGGGGGTTGGAGTTGGAACCTTGATATTACAACAACAAAATAAAACACTAATTCACCGCAATACACCAAAACACTTTGCTTTTAACACTGGACGCTCGTCTTGTTAACCATAAATTTGAAGCTAACTAACCACTAACCATCAGTGTTCATAATCTGCTGATGATGCTAAGTTGGTTAACGAAACGCGCGTCCAGTGTTAAAAGTAAAGTATTTAATGGAAATTACCGCACTTATAGGGGTTGTCTTTTTATGCTTGTGTATACTAAGTATGTTACATTTGACAACTAAAAAAATTTGACAAATAAGCTTGTTCACGAAAAAATTGCCAACGTCTCTTCTGTACGGTTAGGTAATTCTGTGGATAAAAACTACATAAAGAGTAAGTCTGTTATCTTACGACTTTAAAAAAAAATAAATGGACTTTGCATTATTCATAAGGAAGGCACCACAAAATCATATGCAGCAATATAAGTTTCTAGCATACCATAAAACCAACAAAAATAATACAGAGTCCAGTTATTTTTATAGTCTATGGTTGTTACAACCCTTACGACCTTTTTTTATCCATCCATTTTATTTTTCAGTTGAAGCAATTTGGGGACAAAATTAATATCTTACATGCGGACATTTTATTTGTCTATTACCTATAAATAATAATATTTATAATAAGAATAATTATTGACTTATTATCAGTTAGTTTTATTATTACCATACAGGTCGGGTTTGAAATTTGCACTATGTTTTCTCTGACTAAAGGAGGATTTTCTTACATCTGATATCCGACGAGTCCATTTCAATAGTCCGAAAAAGTAGCAAAATAAGCGTTCGACATTTAACGTTTTATGTAAAACTAGCTAGATATTTTTACCACAAATGAAGAAGGAAATTAAAGATAAAGGATTATACTATATTGGTATTGTAGCATATTTTTAGACAACTTCTTTATTTTTAAGATTTTGATGGTCAAACACCAACGAAATATTTCTTATGTTTGGACTGTTGTTTGTTTGGACTGTTGGATGTATGTTTTATTTTGTCAAAACATGTTCATTTAAAAATAATTAAATAAACTAATAAAGCCAAATATTCAGATTATACAGCTGAAACTTTTGATTTTGTTTAGGTTTTGTTCTAGCTGTTTTAGATTTAATTGATTGTTGACTATTTTTGTTTTTAATTTTTCATTTTTTATTTTTACATATTTTTTTTATAGATATCGAATAGTTTCTCTAAGTTAACGCAAAAAGGCATTTTTATGCCTTATTGCGTTAACGTTTTGAAACGTTATGGGCAAATAAAATTTTACATTTAGAAAAAAGGTAGCACCAGTACTGTCCCGATTTTTTAAATACAAAAGGTGGCGACCCTGAGTACTACCTTGCACAACGCTACATTTAATTTACATGAAATACATGTTTCGATAATAGGTATTTTTCTAGCCACAAAAAAAAGTAGCAGTGAAGCGTTTGGTAGACTCAGCATGTGTAAGATTAAACGAACTAAATGATGAGTTAAGAAAAATCAGTATATCTGAGTATCATTACATCGATGGAACTCTTGTTGAGCTCAAACTGATACCTTACGACATAGAAATCCTTCATCCATGCCTGTTTCATCACAGACCAGTAAATGTCGAAGATATGATACAAAGAATAAAAGTACATTTTAGAGTTACTTTATTAGGCTTCTGCTGGCTTCTAATTAAAATAAATTACAACTGCATTCCAGTTAATTCCATAGGAACTATTTTCATAGGATATATCATTTCTTATGGAATTGGTTCCGTAAAAAAGATTCGATAGTAATAAATTATACCGCGTGTTTCCCAAAAGTGGCTTACCCCTATAACTTTTTTATTTTTTCAGTTAAAAAAACAAGATTTGGTATGTTAGTATATGACATAAATTAAGATTGATTGACATATTCAATTGTTTTCCGTCACTTCCTGTTTCACCGGAAATGACTACCACTTTTGATTTTTAAATGGCACCTTCTGTATTTTTTTACTTTATTCGGTAGAAAATAACACTCTGAATAGAATGACATATCATATGTCAACTTTTGACATTTTCGGATATGGTTTATTTGAAATTATAACTTGCGGTTCGTAACGAAAATTTGACTCGAAATACCAAGTGTGTGGTATCAAATTATTCGTAAAAAAATGCTATTTCCAAATATGCTAATGAGTCACCCTCGTTCCATTTGAAAAAATTGAGATATGATTAAAAATACGATTTGAGCCTTTTCTAACTGGCCAGGACAAGACGCTAAAAACATTAGACGATCAAATCTATTTTTCCAAGGCTCCTTCATTAAGAATTCGTGTTTTTAACATAGCCGTAGCACTCTAGATTGAATTTTAAAATTCGATTTTGTATTAAGCCAGAACGTCAAAAGTTGACATATGATATGTGATTATGTTCAGAATGTCATTTTCTATCCAATAAAGTAAAAAAATACCGAGGTTGCCGTTTAAAAATTAAAAGTTTTACATAGTCATTTCCGGTGAAACAGGAAGTGACCAAAAACAATTATTGAATACGTTAATCAATCCTAATTTATGTCTTATACTAACATACCAAATCTTGTTTATTAGAAAAAGTAAAAGAGTGGTCAGCCACTTTTGAGACGCACCCGGTATAGACATGAAATGATTAATATAAAAAAGTCAGCGGCGTAGCGTGGCGTCAATACAAAGGGATGTAATAAGTAACTGCAATTAACATTTTACCCATACTAAAGTTTTTTCCTTTTTTTATTAAAGTCTTTACTTTTGAAGTTACAAAAATAAAATATACAAAAAATGTAACAGGTTAAAAAAATAATCAAACCAATTTAAAAAAAGAACTAAATTTAGATAAAAAACAAAGCTGTGAAGATATATATATATATGTGTGTATATATGTATCTGTTAGATAAAATAGAAGACGCAAGCCAACAAAAAAGGGGTTTATTGATTGCCTTACAACCACTATAACCAAAATGTCCACTTTTATAAATAGTCTCACTAAAATGCTGAATACACGATTTTAATTCAGTATATCAAAATCCAAAATATGCTTTGGACAAAGTTTACAGAATCTTTGGAGGTCCTTCTTCAATAGTTTTTAATTTTTTCTGAATACATCATAGAACGGAAGGACGATTGCAAAATTATTTATATTTTACAGTCGCACTCAGAATCGGTTATCGCGAACCGCGCGACGAATTTTTTTTTATTTTATACCAAGATGTGTTTTTTTAAATAAAGTTTAAAAAACCGCATCACCCACCGACTAAAACAGCGAACGGGAGACGTAATCGCGGCCGGAATGTTCGCTGATCCCGAATTAGCGTTCGGCGGCGTTCAAGATGTAACGAGGATAGTCGCATCATCGCGCTGTCGAGATATTTTTCTTTTTAGAAATTGTCGAAATTGAATTTAATTTTTTGAATAAATTTACTGAGAATTTTAATTTATTTTAAAATATCTCAGTGACTTTTTTCAATCAAAACGTATTACAATATTTTGAAGTGATGCGACGCATCACCCGCCTCAATGGAAGTTTCGCCGCTGAAAAAAGTAGTTTTTGTATGATATTTTGAGAGATGATGAAAAAATAACTTTTCGATCATGATTCTAGAATGGGGAGAAAATATTTGAAGTTGCTGTTCCTACCATTGAGATATCCCTCCAGGAACTAATTAAAGTAGCTAAGTCTGTAACGATAGTAGAACCTGATGAGCCTGTGCTCGAAGAACCTGGAGGGGATGAGCAAAAAGATTTAGCCCAAGGGTCTTCCGCTAAAATAGCGAAACAGTACGTCATTTTTTCATGATCCTTTTTATTGATTTTTTCAACTCCATAGGCTCGGTGCATTTCAGTTGATTTCAACAAATTCCGACCGCAGCGCACTCTACGGCAGAAATCATAAATGATCACCATATAGTTCACACCGCCCCTGTCATGTCGATCGCATTAAAATAATATTGAAATCGTGGTTTTGTTATAATATTTAAGTATTTTGTTTTTTGCTAGTGCAGTTATTGAAACTATAAACACTTAGGTACGAGGTTTGTGTGATGTAAGGCTGCTTCGAGTAAAAAATAAAGTGAAAAAGAATTCGAACTAGGCGTCGCGCCTAGTTCGAATTCGTATTGTGTTGTGACAATTTCAAATGTTAATAAAATTGCCGAAAAAATGCTAACGCCTAAAGGAGAGAGTAATTAGGGCGTTGTTGGGTGCAATAACATTCAATAACTCAAGTTTCCCGGATATTCAACTCTTCCGAAACAACATTTTATAGCTTCATAGTTTCTCAAACCGATTTGATCAAAAGCAAAAATGGATTCAAGTAGTTCGACGAAACAAGTGAGTAAACAAAGTGCTCGTTACATAATCAAAAAATTAAATAGACGTAAATATGAGACATAAATAGACTATGAAAGGATAAAATATAATTTGCAATATTAATGTATACTTGTTTTAATCAACTAGTGATAAAATGTTTTATGAACATCTTCTAAAATTATAAAGAAGTGTCTAGCCCTAGCTGTCAACTATTAAGCTTGACCAATCAGGTTGGTTAGCGTGGTTATTTGAAGGGTGTTAATTCATTTGTGTTTGTCAAAAACTCTAACGTGATTGGTCGGGCTTAATAGTTGCCTGCTAGGGCTAGACACAAGTAATTATAATTCTGTACGTTTAAAAATTTCGTTATAGCCGAAATAGCCCTAATTATGATACCACTAGCAAAACCGGTGCGTAAAACAAAACTATGCTCGCTGCCGTAACTGAACTCATCTAAAAATTTTTTTTAGCTGGAATAATAAATTACAAGTTAGACCTTCTGAAGATTTTTTACAAATTATACTTCCAAACACTTTTTAATAATTTTTAATACTAAAATAAATTTTTCCTATACTCGCTATTTAAACCCGTGTATTTGTATATATCAGTTGTTTACGATATTTTCCGATGGTGACAGCACCGGCGGAGAATGCACCAAGCCTATACAATATCTGTTATAAACTTGAAAATGTTTTTTTGGGTAATATATATTTTGATGATGTTTAGTTCAGTGTTAGTTCGAGCTTCTGACACTAATGTTATAGTACCAGAAAGAACTCCAGAAGAACTAGAAAAACAACGTTTCGAAGATGCTGTAATGTTAATACGAAAAGCAGAGAAAGCTAGACAAGATCGAGTATATTTTTACGAAAAATACCTGGAACTCAAGAGAAGAAAAGAGTTGGTAGGAATAATCGTAGGAACTTGAGAGGGGAGCTTTTAAACATAATATTTTATAGCAACAAATCGGGGCTCAGAGAAAAGAACCTGTTAAAGAATCAGATCCAGATACTAAAAATAAAGCAGCTATGGCTATGCAAAGCGTGTGGAGAGGGCATTCGGCTAGAAATAACTTGAAATTTCGTGAAGAACAACGAAGATTACTCATAGGTAATATGAATCTTTAATGTCACTACATTACCGTGACTATTGAGATGAACCGCCTATTTAAAAATAAACATATTTCTTTAAATTCAAAACATTCATTTTAAGACACTCTGTATACATAAATAAAATTAATGATCCTCATTATTTAAATAATGTTAACTAAACCATAATATATTTTATTTTCTTGTTGTAATATTCTTTTCCAAAGTTTTTCCTTATTCCTTATTTATTTGATTTGGCAAAGATATTGTATAGCATGTGTACCTATGTATTTAATGGATTCTGGATTCGATTTATGCTCTAAATAATTTCTAGTTTAAAATTAAATCTAAATCAAATCGTTTATTTGTTTACTGTTCATTCGTACCGATGTTTTTGGTTCAGTATGTGTATAGAGTGACAATAAGGGTTTTTTTGCGCGTACTAATAATTTCCAAACGTGCATGGGCGAACATCTTAGTAAACAAGTCAGCAGTCAAAACCAAAGAATGTTATAACTCATAGTCTAAAGATATTGGCACCAAACATATCAACTCTAGCTGAGTAGCCTCCCGAATCCAGAGACCTCAGTACCTGCAGGTGGGGACCTCCTAACTCACAATACCTCTTCAGTTATGAATGTTTGAAGTGTGTTAAACTTCAAACTTTGGTATGAGGACAGTATTTGTAGTATTATTATTATTTCTCTTTTATTACAGTTCAGAATAGCATATAGTTCGATTCTTTGGAATAATAGTGATCAAGGTTTTCTCCGCCGTGCTCTTTATATATACCGGGTGTTGCATCGTCGGAAGGGACATAGAAAATCCCATGTAAATTTTAATGGGGTCAATTATTGGCTTCCCTAATTATTTTAGAGAATAATTTTATTTAAGTTTATTGAAGAGCACTAAAACTCACATTCAAAAGAATAACTTTAGATATTTTTGATTTGTTCGTTTACGAGTTATCGCCGATTTCTTTTTAAATATTTCTCCTTTCTTATGGCTCTGTATTTACTTATGAGCACCAGTCAAAGTAAATGATAACTCTAAAATGAAGTTGTCATTTCAGAAATTTACCTATTTAGTGCTTTGTTATTATTGAAAACTCATTCCTAGATCGGAAATCTAAAACATGTATTTATAAATACAAATTAATATGAATTAAAGTAAAATAAAGTAATCAATTACAAGGTTAATTATAGTATTATTACAATATTCAATAACTTATTAATTTAGGTACTATTAAATTGTTAGAACTTTAGGATTTAAGAAGATGTTCAAATATTCCTCCATCGACTGCTAGACAATAACCCAGGCGATCATAAAATTCTCTTCTTACATTCGCTAGTTGGTAAACTGAAATTCTATTGCATTCGGCAGAAATAGAATTTTTTAACTCGTCTAGATTGGGGATTTTTTATCCTTTATCCTGTTTTTTAAATTGCCCCAGAGAAAGAAATCATTTGGCGAAATATCAGGAGACCTTGCTGGCTAATTTACTGTATGATTTAGGCCAATAACGTTTCCGTTAAAACTATTGTCTAAATATTCCCGAACAGCCAGGGTACTATGTGACGGGCAGCCATCCATTTGGTACCAAACTTCCTGATTTTCCCTAGCGGCATCATGTAGAGCAGGTAAAATATGATTTTCGAGTAGTTCCAAATAATATTCTGCATTTAAATTTCGCGTAAGAAATAATGGCCCGATAATATTGTGTCCGAATATCCCTGCCCAAACATTTAGTTTCTGTGGATATTGCGTCCTTGTTTCGACAAACCTGTGTTGGTTTTCTTTGTTCCAATATCGATAATTTTGAACATTGAGTTCATTATTTAAGGTAAACGTGCATTCGTCAGTGAAACATATGTTTTTTAAAAATTCCCTATCCGTGTTTGCTCTTTCCATCATATCAAAACAAAACGCTTGCCGCCATATTTCGTCCCCATCTCGTAGCTCTTGGTGCTTTTCATATTTGAAGGAATAGTATTTATGTCGTTTCAAAATTCGAAACGCTGTAGTGTGATCTATTCCTATTTCATCCTCAAGTTTCCTTGTGCTGATCTTTCCATCATTCTCTTCCACGCACAATAAAAAGTCGGTATCATTTCTTGCATCTTCTCTTTGTTCTTGCCTTGCTTCACATCTGCAGTTATTTATTAGGGTACCTTTGGTCTCAAATCTCTTGATATACCTTGCGATTGTAGAGGTATGGGTCTATTCGGATACAGAGCAGCAAACATGTCCGACGCCGTTTGATAACTATTTCCTTGATAATACCATTTAATCATCAATACTTTTTCTTCGGTAGTGTAATTCATGGCTAATATTTTCGATGTAGGTATGAGTTTTTAATAATAATAATAAAGCACCATCGATAAGAGACTTATAAACCACTAAATAGATAAATTTCTGAAATGACAACTTCATTTGACAGTTATCTTTTACCTTGACTGGTGCTCGTAAGTAAATACAGGGTCATAAGAAAGGAGAAATATTTAAAAAGAAATCGGCGATAACTCGTAAACGGGCTAATTAAAAATATCTAAAGTTATTCTTTTGAATGTGGGTTTTAGTGCTCTTCAATAAACCTAAATAGAATTATTCTCTAAAATAATTAGGGAAGCCAATAATTAACCCCATTAACATTTACATGGTATTTCCTATGTCACGATCGACGATGCAACACCCGGTATAAAGCGGGGATCCTACAGCTTCTGCCGCATCCCGCATTTCGACCTCCATATTGTTCGATTTTGCCATTCTTCCTGGTTAATAGCTCTGTCTCGCGTGTACTGGTCTACTCCATCTAACCACGTAGTTGTAGGTCTTCCTCTTCCTTCTGCTTTGGGGACGATACTCCATTGCCATTTTTGGCCATTTTTCCCCTCCCATTCTTTTTACGTGCCCATACGCCCATACCATAGTAGCTGTCTCGATTCGATGTTGTCGGTGCTGGTATATATTCGCCTTGTTCTTTGCCTGATCTCATCATTCCTAATGTGCTCCATCCTTGATATTCGACATGCTCTTCTGAGAAAGTCCATCTCTACTGACTCGACCATCCTTCTTTCTTTTGATGTAAATTGCCAGCATTCGGCACCGTATGTTGAAATTGGCTCTACGATTGCTTTGTAAATCCTTAGCTTTGTTTGGATGAATGTTTTATTTAACCACCGGAGAGGGTTTAAAAGACCGATTACTTTCTTACCTTGTTGAACTCTGCTATGTATATCTTTCTTGGAGTTCCCCCCCTTCTTTTATATAATACTTCCTAAATAGTTAGATTCGCTACACCTTTTAATTTCATGTATGTATAGTTCAGGATCTTCAGTTTGCTCTTCTCCTACTTTCAGGTATTCGGTTTTTGTGAGGTTGATATTGAGTCCCCATCTATCGTATTCTTCCTCAAGTTTCCTGAACATGTAGTCGGCATCCTCCTCGCAACCTGCAACAATAACTTGGTTGTCTGCAAAGAACAAGGTCGATAAACAGTGGTTGTCAATCTCTATTCCCATAGCTCTACTCTTCCTTCTCCAGTTTTTCAATGCCTCCTGGATATATATTTTAAATAAGGTAGGTGATAAACTGCACCCCTGTCTGAGTCCTTTAGATGTCAGGAAGGATTCCGATAGGAACTTCCCTTGTCTGATCATACTTTTTGGATTTTTGTACATATTCCAGATTGCATTGATATATGTTTTACTCACATTTGTTCTTCTAATTCTTCAAAGCTCTCTTCTACTCTCTCTTTTAATATCCTGCCATACAACCTTCCCATTGAGCTTGTCAAACAAATGCCCCTGTAGTTGCTACATCTTTTTTTGTCTCCTTTCTTAAAAATAGAGCTGATGTACGCCAGATTCCAGTCTTTAGGAATGTTGTCGTTTTTTATCAGGCATCTGATCAATATATCAGCTAGTATTTCCAATAATATATCGGGTCCCTGCTTTATGAGCTCAATGAAAATGTTTCCCGGCCCTGCAGCTTTTCCATTTTTTGAGTTCTTCAATGCTTTCTTTATCTCGTTTATACTTATTTCATTTACATCTATATTTTTTGCGTTTTTCAAATCTGGCACTTCTAGTTTGAATTCTGTCCTGTTTTCTGTCAGTAACTGTTTGTAATGGTCTTCCCACTTTTCCATGCTTATATTATAAGTTCTAGTTTACTGTTTTGCTTTTCGTCTCTTCTAAGGTTCCTTATTTCTCCGCCGTGCTCTTTTACTTGTGAATTCCCGGCAGAGTAGCAGAATACGGCACTCCTTTCATTTCGTTTAATAAAATAAGTAAAGCTATTTACAAATTTAGCGTTTGATTTACATAACCTATCCTCCTCAAATTTCCCAAAATATTGCTTCTGTCGAACGCATCCGAGGTAATCACAATAAAAAAATATTTTTAACACAACGTAGGTTCCTTTATTTCATTTAAATAGTTTGTTATACAGATGACCAAAATATTACCTCTTCAACTTTGTTGAACGAACATGGATTGTTATACCGTATGATCGAATAAAAACTGCGTCATCAGCGATGGCTATGAAATGACGATCAATAACATTTCCCATATAATTTTACATATAAAATGACAGCGATCTCCATTTCATAGCCATCGCTGACGCCGTTTTTATTCAATCATACGGTACTAAACTATTAGTCCTTTAAAAAAATTAAACAATTTTTTTAAAGGAATGAACGAATCCAGCTGGAAATCAAAAAAGGAATTCGAAATTTTTGAGGCAAACCTGGAAAAACGTCGCGATTACCGAGATCAAAAGCTGAGAGAGTATATCGATGCTATCGATAATGAAAAAGCCAGAATCCTAAGAGTCGTTGCTCCTGGTTTATTTGAAGACATAGAAGATGAGATCAGAGAATGGTAAAACAATTTTAAAAATAATAGTAGCTATTGTTAAAATAGTGATCGTTTAAGCATCGATGTTCAAAAACCTATCGCTCTCAGTAAATCGTATACAGGGTACAGGGTGTTTCAAAAAACATGTGCCATCTCTTGTGGGAAAATTCCACAAAATAAGATTTATTTTTCATATCAACATGGCTCCGATTCTGTTTTGTTTCGTAGCTACAGAGGGTTAATGTGTTAATTTTTTTCGATTTATTATAATTTTCTTCTAAGTACTTTTAGCGATTCAAATGAAATTTGGAGTGCTATCAGTGCTACATATGTGAATGGCTCTAAGAATGTCGACAGCTTTACCAGGGACGTGCATATGATGGGTTATCACTGGAAGATTTTTCTAAAAAAGATATGTGCGCCACTGACTTTTTTCTCTTATTAGCGAAATTGTATTAAACAATTTACATTACTTATTACAAGCATTATTACATTGTTTATTTAGCATTTGTATCTTGATATTTTGTGCATTTCGGTCTTTGCGAGATAAACGCAGTTTTATTAATAACAATTAATAAAATTAGTAAATTATTTATCTAATGTAATTTATTACTTAATTTTATTAAAATTTAAATGTGTATACTACTAATAATTTAAAGTATACACTGTGTATTTTTATGCATTAGGTGCAGTACTACCTACAGCAAATTCCCCAAAAAATAATGGTATTTAAGATAATTACAAGAGGCCTATTTTTTAAAGTTTTAACATCCTGTAACTTTAAAGGTTGCTGTTAAAATTTAATTAAGGCAAATTAATTAAATTGCGTTTATCTCATCAAAGAGATCGAAATCGACAAAATATCAAGAGACTGCTTTTAATTAGCATTTAACAGTCTACACAATTTTGCTAACAAGAGAAAAAAAAAGTCCGTGGCGCACATATTTTTTTAGAAAAAAATTCTAGTGATAACCCATATGTCCGTTGTCCGTCCCAGGTGAACGACACTTTTTTAGCATTAAAATATGTCGCACTTATAGTAACTTTTACCCTCAAAATTCGAATCGCTAACAGTACTTGGAAGAACTTATTGGAAGTACTTATTCTAATAAATCGAAAAAACATGAAGACTAACCCCTTGTACTTACGAAACAAAGCAGAACCGGACCTATGTTAATATGAAAAATAGATCTTATTTTTACGAGAGGAATCTCTCCACAAGAGCTGGCCCATGTTTTTTGATCAGATATCCCTAATAAAGTGGCTATGAGAATGTGTAATTAGTTTTTGGATTTTCTAAAAAGACAAGAAAAAATAAAATTGATTTTCAAAAAAAATCCGATTTTCCCAAAAATTAGCAATCCTTCAATTAAATATCTAAAACTTTTTTGATGGAATCTTGGTGAATATCCCAAGGGCGGGCAACTTTGCCCCAATTTAAACATCTTCGTATCTATTACGGTTTCCGAGATACCAATGCTTGTACTTCGAATTTGTAGCACCCTGTATATGAAATGAACAAAATTCTTACAGCTTTAGTGTATATTAATTACATCTTATACTTCCTTATCTTTGACAGGTTTCACAGATGGTACGACGAAGCTAGAACCTTCGACAAATATCCTGCTGAAGAAAAGGGTGGCACTATTTTGGTAGTACGTGGTGAAACACTCACTCCAAAAGAATATCTAGACGAATACGAACGAAAAAGAAGAGAAAAAGTGAAGGCGGGAGGTAAAGATGCTCAAAAAGAGAAAGAAAAGAAAGAACGCGAAAAAAAGGCTAAAGCAGAGGCCGAAAAGAAGAAGAAAGAAGCCGAAAGGAAGAAAAAGGAAGCCGAGGCTAAGAAGAAGAAAAAGAAGAATCCTGCAGATTTTGAATACGAGTATGAAGAAACATTATCGAAGCCACTGAAAAATATGGGCGAAGAGGATTTCGTAAAAATCTGGAACGATCGTAGTGACTTTGATAACCCCATGGAAACTCATTACATGGATCTGATAACGGAGAAGGAATGCTACGAAACGCAGTTGCAAGTGCGGAAACAAGCAGACGAATTGATGAGGTATTATTTAAAAGAATTTAAATGACTGAGCACAGCGAGAAGGGCCGGTGTCATAAAACATCATAAAGTTTGATTCTCACTATACCTTCCATATCAGCTCCCTTCCGTTTCCCCTCCGTTTACATAAAATATTATATCATGTAAATGAATAGGACAATGCACACTCTCCGTCCCGTTTCCCTTCCGTTCCATATTCTTTCCTTCCATACATTTTTTTTGGCAGACGGACTGAAGCGTATCGGAAACAGCGTTGTCAAGTTCTTACATTTATAGCAGCTCTGTTAACATTTTGCTGATATTTATTTATTCTTTCACCTCTTAATTAAATCTATTACCTTTTTCAAAAGATAAAACTTTTTAAAATAAAACTTTCGTAATGATATAAATTGTACAATAAAAAGTATGGAACTGATAGGGAACGGAAGCTTACGTATAACGTCAATACAATAAAAAATACGGAACGGATATGGAATGGATATGGAATGGAAACGGAAGGCATAGTGCGAGTCAACCTTAAACTATAGGCGCTACCACTTTTACAAATTCCATCAGCCGACTTTCTTATTAAAAATAAATAAATTCGGGTCAGAACGTCCTACGACGTTGGCCGATGCCAAACTTCCACCCTGTGCGATTTTCCCATTGATTTACGGTCAGATTTTTCTCGCTCATCGATCTTCTTATTCCTTCCATCCATGTTTTCTTGGGACGTCCTCTCTTTCGTTTACCAGGTGGTATCCAATGAAATACTTGTTTTGGAATTGTTACATTGCGCTCTGAACGTGGCCTTACCATATTAATTGTTTTTGTTCTATATCATTCACTATTATTGTTTCCTCTATTCCCATCTGTCGTCTAATGCCTTCATTTCTGATTTTATCCTTCCGTGAAATTCTCATTGCTCTTCTAATCGCCTCCATTTCTGTTGTCTCTAATTTCCTTTTATTCTTTTCAGTGAGTCGCCATGTTTCACATCCATAGAGTATGCTTTTAACTAGTGTCCTGTATATATTATATTTCCTGTTCTCCGTAATTTCAGTGCTCCATAGAATGCCATTTATGCATTTGATAACTTCGTAATTCTGTTTATTTCTCTATCGTCCGTTCCATCTCCTGTAAATATTGAACCCAGGTACCTGTAATGTTCACATGCATTAATTTCCATATTATTGTTTAAAATAAGACTTTCTGTTTTGGCTCCAATTGGAAGGTATTTCGTTTTTTCTGTATTTACTGTGAGACCCCGTTTAGCGTATTCTTCAATTATTTTTCGCACCATATATTCCATGTCATCTTTGTTGTCTGCAATTATGGCCTGGTCGTCTGCAAATTGCAAGGTGTATAAGCATATGTCATTTAGTTCTATACCCCCATTCCGTTACATTTTCTTTTCCATAGATGTATGGCCTTGGCAAAATAAATTTTAAATAATTTTGGGGATATACCTATGACCCTGTCGGAACCCTTTAGTGATCTCATTCCCTCTTTTGGCCGTTTTTATTTGAAATTTTCCTCCATGGTAAATATTTTGTACAGCTTTTATCAGAACTGTGTTAATTCTGGATTCGTGTAATACTTCCCATAATTTTATTATTGGCACTGTATCATATGCTTTTTGTAGATCGATGAATGTTATATAAACTTCCTGGTTCATTGCAGATTTCTTCTCGATGATCTGTTTCAATGCAAAGATATTATCTGTACATGATCTTCCGCCTCTGAAACCATTCTGCTCTTCTTCTTCGTAGCTGGAGGCTGGAGTATTCCTCTTCAATTAGGTACCTCAGTATCCTTCCATAGAGCCGACTCATAGTGCTGGTGACCAAAATTCCCCGGTAATTATTGGGCTCCTTTCTTGAGCCTTTTTTATATATAGAGGAGATATATGCTTTTTTTCACTGTTCAGGTACTGGATGACTATTTAAGCATTGGTTAACTATGTTTGTTAATATTCTAAAATTCATCATGACGAAATATGGCTGAATGAAGGGCATTCTGTTAAGAAAATCTGGCAAGACAAAAGACCGACCGGTTTGAAAAATATTATGTACTTTAATTATTGTAAATTCTCAACATTAGTTGAAATGTTTTTCTAAATTATTTTTATCTTATTATTATCTTATTTATGGTTTGTAACCTGTTACATTCATTTAACAATAAAAACTTCACTGATATGTACGATAATTGAGTGTACTTGTACCTATTTATTTATTTAGCGTATGGCATATTAAGACACAAAGTACGTATATGACAAAAAGAAAAAAAAATACAAACGAACATTTAACAAATTTATATAATCTATTGATTCTGGAGTTGCCAACAGGAAATCTTTTGGTCTGCCGTTATAAGCCGTATCAGGGCATTCCTCCACGATATGTTTGACGGTTTGATTTTTGCCGCAGTCGCAGGAGGGGCTTGGACTCTTGCCCCATTTGAGTAAGGTATAGGCACATCTGCCATGCTGCGTTGTAATTCTGTTTAGCGTGCACCAGGTTTTCCTTGGTAAGTCGGAACCTAGTGGTGAGTTGGTGATGCATGGCATGTCACTGTTTTGTTTCGACGTCCATTCCTGATACCAAGCGTCGGTGATGCTCCATTCGTCTTCAATTGCATTTAGTGCGGTTTTGGTGGGTGGTTTTCCGGATCGGAGGCGGTTTGGTTAGCATTCTCGATGTCTCTATGGATCGGTAGTTCTCTGTTACAGAGCGTTTATGCGGCGCAGGCTTGGGGGTGGGATGTGACTCAGTATACTGGAAGGCATTCTGTGGGTTTGGATTTAATAACACCAGCGATCATTCTCATTGTATTATTGAGCTGTGCGTCTATTTTGTGGGCATGTGGGCTATTGAGCGATACCGGAGCACAGTATTGGGCACTGTTTAAAAATAATAAAAAAAAATAAAAAAAAAAACATAATAAAAACCCAAAATACCTAGGTGTTACACTCGATAGAACGCTTTCGTTTAAAGAGCACTTATCAAAAACAGCAGAGAAGCTGAAAACAAGAAACAACATAATACAAAAATTGTGCGGAACATCTTGGGGCGCTTCAGCATCTACTCTACGCTCGTCAGCTCTGGGTCTCGTCTACTCAGTGTACTCGTATAATCCAATGTTACTGAAAATTCCAATAACGGGTAAATAAAAATTTGTATTGCTATTACCATATTATTTTACGTTGTGAACAAAATATATTTTTGAAATAATCTTAAAACCCTAATACAAGACACTGATGCGGTCAGAAATTACTATTGTTAACGTACCGGATTTGTCCATCTAGAAACGTGTTACAGCTGTCTCAATTTTAATGAAAGATATACTCTTAGAATAAAATTGGTCCCATCTTTTGGCGTCTCACACTATACACAAGAAAACGCCTTTTGCACTTATAATGAGGGTGTTGTGCTCCTGTGAAGGTTTTTAGAAACAAAGTATAGAAAAACTGACCCAAAATTTATTTTTTTAACTCACCATAGATTAGAGCTTGAAATGCTTTTGGAGGCTTTGGCCAAAGACAAGGGTAAGAAATACAAGCCAAAGAAACAGAAAAAAAGGAAGAAGGGCAAAAAGAAGGGAAAAAAGGATATCACTGCAAACCGGCTCACAGAAGACCTGTTTCAAGAACTGATAGACAACGGAATTATCAGACAGTACTCCGCAGGACGTTTGGATGACTTCAAGGGAGATTTTAGTTATAAAAACACGGAACTAAGGGCTCTAGATTTCGATCCCGCCGCTACTGACCTAGATGTAAGGCAAGCGGTGGCTTTGAATTGTATCCAACCGCTGGGAGTTGAAGTAATGAAGAAACCAAGGTTTACACTTCTTAAAAAATATTTCTTAGGAATATTAATTTTTCTAATCTAGATCCGTTTTAATTGTTGGTCCCCGTCAGAGCGGTAAACATGTATTAGCAAACGCCGTTTTCAATCATACACGATGTGTCTTGTTTGATCTGTCCCCTGAGGTGACAGCTGGTAAATACCCAGGAGCCAAAGTAATAAAATTAACCATTTTTTACGATTGTGAACTTAAAGCTGAAATTATAACTTTTTATATATAGGGTTTGGCTATGCTGATTCATCTGGTCAGTAAAATGTCAAAGTTGCTTCAACCTTCAATAATATTCTTTAATAATGCAGAGAAGATATTCTACAAAAAAGTTCCCAAGGATGAGAAGGATTCGGATCCAAAACGTATAGGCAAAAAACTGACTAAAGGTATAGTAAAAGAATAATTAAATTTGACTTTACTAATTTTCTATCTTTAGGTATTGTCAAAGCTATCAAACCCGATGATAGAGTTCTTGTATTGGGTATAACTAGAGCTCCATGGCTAGCACAAGCTGCTAAATTAAAAAAAGCTTTTGAAAGAGCTATTTTAATCCCTAGACCTGACTATGGTAGTGTCTATTTGTATTGGAGGGAGTTTTTAAGTCCTTACCATCACGTTGATCGAAATCTGAACTTCACCAGCTTGGCAACAGTCACAGAATATCAACCTTACAGCGTTATAAGGGATGTTGTAGAAAAGGTATGTAAAATAGGAGTTTTTAATAATATTTTGGTTTAATTTCTGGCGTTTTTATCAGGTATTGACGCCTAGAAGAATAATTCAACTGAAGTACAAGCCTCTGACTGTCCAGGAGTTATATGAAGTTTTTGTGTCAGGTCAAATTGAGCCTATAACTGATAAGGAATGGAAAAAATATACTAAATGGTATACAGGGTGGTCCGAACTGTTTTCCGGAAACGTCGGCAGCATATTCTGCATATTAAAATAAGTAGAACAGTTGTATAAACGTATGTCCTAAAATGTTTAGTTTCGGAGATACAGGGTGTAGAAGTTTCATTTTTATTTCGATTTTTTCCAAATAATTTATGAAGTAACGTCAATATTTAGATGATAATTGGTGTCGGGAAGTTTTTTGACATGAGACATTTGATTTTGATGTCAATATGACTCCTATTTGTAGGGAACGCCACCCTACATATATTTCTTCAAAAAAGGTATCGTTCTCGAAATAGTTGTAATCTAAATTATCAATACCTGTCATCATTGACATAAATTAAACATGTGTTGGTAAAAATCGCTACGAGTATCTAATGGTTCTCAAGATATATGGAATCTTAATTATCAATATTTGTCATCATTGACAATAAACAAATAGTTATTAGACTGAAATCATAAATTTGAAATGTTTTTGTGCCAAAAGTTCAACAGAAACAGTTTTATAATAATTTTTTTCAATGAAAAATTTATGATTAATTTAAAAAAATAAAGATCTCTCAAATTTATCATTTCAGTCAAATAACAATCTACTAAACATGTGTGTATTTTTTGTCAATAATGACATGTATTGACTATTTCCATTCTAAATATCTTGAGAACGGCTGCTCGTGGCGATTTTTATCAAGACACATGTTTTACGTAAAAAAAACACGGAAATGTATATTTTTTTCACTCAGTAGTTTTATACAGGTACGGACGAAAAGTTATTACTCTTAAACAGTTAAAACACATGTAGGTGGCGCCTATAGAGTCATATTGACATCAAAATCAAACTTTCCATGTCAAAAAACTCCCAGACACTAATTTTCATCCAAATATTGACGTAACTTCAGAAATTATTTGGAAAAAATGGAAATGAAAACGAAACTTCTATATACACCCTGTATCTCCGAAACTAAGCATTTTAGGACCTACATTTATACGAACTTTTTTACTTATTTTTAACTTTAAAATATGCTGCCAAAGTTTTCGGAATACAGTTCGGACCACCCTGCATAACAAAAAAAAATACTGATATTTGAGTATTTATTAAGAAAAAAAGTCAATGTAAAAAATAACAATGAAAAAATAAGATAAAATCGCTAATTGATAACTAAAAAAGTTTTTTTTTATCGAATTAACCCCCTGGAAATATTTTTAGGTACTCGAAGACACCTTTAGGCAAAGAAAGGGCGGCATTCAATAAATGGGCTGATGGAAAAAGAGACCTAGAGCGAAAACAACAGGCTAAGCAAAATAAAGGAATGAGATAAAAAATAATTTCTTTACCCGGAAGTGGAAAGTTTGTTTCTTTCTCAGAAATGATTTATTCAACGATTTCTTTCATTATTTAGATAAGTCGGGTCTAATTATATCTGAAATAATTCATGGAAACGAAGTTTGTCTTATTTTCTTTTTGTGTTTTAATCAATTTTAGTTGATTATTTTGTTGTCTTCTGTAGCGTTTCTTGTTTTTTAAGTAATAAAAAATATAATACATACTTTTTTATTTTTTGTATCTAGTATTCAGTATGTCTTCTAAAACACAACATTAATTTATTTAATGCATATATTGCATATGTAGTTTACCATGATTCTAAACTATCTCCGATTCAACTCTATGCTGTTATTATAAGTTCGTACCCCCTCTCTGTATATTGGACGCCTCCCGATGTTTGAACCTTGGAGCCGAAGACGAAGGGTTGATAATAGTATGCCCGAGGCCTTTAATTTGGGGTTACCCTTGCGGATCAATGATCTCCGCAAAAGGGGCGGTGGATATATACAGGGTGGCATATTGTTTGCGCTATCCGTTCATTTTTGTGACAAAAGAATACTTTGATAGTTGGTTCATGCTTCCGATCTTAACCCTAACAGTAACATTAGTCCTAAGCTTAAGGATATGTATCAACGTTAACGAATGCTAATGCTCATGCTTCTAACACAGATTAACATATATTTATCAGTAAGACAGAGAAACACAATTAAAACAAGGATCCATTCGGTGTCTTTAAATATTATATTTAAAGGGACCGAATATAAGGGGAAATATTTAAATATTTTTTCCGAGGATCCTTGAATATAAATTAGTGTTTTTAACACAGCCATGGCACTCTAGATTGAAATTCACAATACGATTTTTTAAGCGTAAATGGCAAAAGTTCACATAATATGATATGCAATTCTATTCAGAATGTCATTTTCTATCGAATAAAGTAAAAAATACAGAGGGTAACATTTAAAAATCAAAAGTTGTAGTTATTTCCGGTGAAACAGGAAGTGATCGAAACGAATTGAATACGTCAATTAATCATAATTTATGTCATATGCTAACATACCAAATCTCGTTTTTTTATCAGAAAAAATGGAAAAGTTATAGGGGCGAACCACTCTCGAGAAACACCCGGTAATAATACCTTCTCTATAAATAAATAAAATCCGAGAAGACATTCAATCGCAGTTTACTAAAAAATGCTTCAATGGACCACACAATTACATTCGCAACAAAATCGCAACTCCTAAAAATTCAAACTCGCTGATAGAAAATTATCACGGTCCTATAGTTTACAAAATCAAATCGCAACTCGCAACTATAATAATATTGGTTGCCCAAATTGAAACTCGCAAAGAGAAGAAATCGAAAATCGCAGCAACATCGCAACATTAGTAATACTAGAGAATAAAGTAATACCGTATGATCCAATAAAAACGGCGTCCAGTTGGCTTGGAAATGACGATCGATGGCATTTCCCATATAAATTTACATATAAAATGACAGCGATCTTCATTTCATAGCCATCGCTGACGCCGTTTTTATTCGATCATACGGTACTAAATACTATAAGTCTGTCCAACGACAAGATCCTTGACAGTGATAGATGTGTCTGTAATTTAATTTCAAAGTAGTTTATTTTATTTTACAAAGAAATAAGTTGGTACAACTGGAACGCATAGCAGGAAATTAATATACGTATTACAGAAATTTATTTTAGGGGGGCCTAAATAAAAAATAATGCCAAATATGCCTTTTAGGGCGCCATTTTTAACCCAAAAGCCTAATATTTAACACAATTTATAGATTTTACGGGGGAGGGGCCATGGGCCCCCCTCTGTATCCGCCACTGTATGTGTTCATAAAAAACAAACAAGAACATGACACCACATACCAAAAAAATATAAAAAAAACTATTTCTTACTTTCAAGCGTCATGAAACTTCCCGCATTTATGATTATATTTATTTATTAATATAACTTATGTACAAATACAAATTTGTAATATTCTACAGGAATAAATAAAACAACATAAATAAAACAAAGTAATTTATTAATAATAACACTTACCAAATGTTATACCTTAAAGGTTGATTAATTAACTTTAATCTTAATTTTTTTAAACCAGTACCTTTTGACATTATTTTTCTGCAGTACTAAAATCCATTATTTACCTATCGTGTGATGTCGATATTTTACAGCTACTCCAGTTTTTAGTATGTGTTTAGTATGGTCCTTCTACCATATACGAGATGCACTTATTTACGACGAGATGGTATACGAACTTTATTGATGATAACTTTATTGGTGTATAAGACTTTCTGCCTGGGCAGCGAGTATTAACCATAAACTGTGCTCTGGGTCTACAGTTAATTTTCACTCGATTTTTCCTCCACTTGACTTCAAAAGACACAAAACACACGTAATAACACGAGTCAAAATGCATCATCTTCCAAAGCGCAGGGTATATTTGACAAGTTGACACAAAATTATAACCTATAATTCGGCAAGACTTTGACCAGCGTCAAAAATCTAAAGGCGAGTTCATACGCATCGGCGTCCGTTTGTCGTTCATCCGTCAAACCAATAAAATTGAAATACGATGTGTCATTTTTGAAATAAACCAATAAAACTGGTTAAAAACAACAAGAGACGACGCATGACGAATTTATGTTTAAACCCATCCATAGTTAACTTAAAGATTATTAGAAACTTTTTTTTACTAAAATCTTAGTAAAATAAATAGATTGGTATAGGACGTCATCTGCTTTTTTCTGTCATCGTCTGTCGAAATCTTACCTGAGAAAAAAAACAGAGAGAGCTAAATGAGTTTGTTCCATTTTCTATATCTTGAAATTTTCCTGAAGCCGGTTCTGTGCGGTCACTCCCCGTTACGTACCGGAATAGGCCGCGTTTGCCGGTACCTCGAGCTCTCGGTACTCGAACGCGGTACTGATTACTGCCCCGTTGCTATTTTGTCGTGGGCGTCGTTTGACGGCAGCCTGGGGACCCAACATGGCTTCTTGAGTAGTCAACATGGCGGACTACCCATTGTTCGAAGTAGTACCGTACCGATATTGGCGGTACTCGGTACCTAAGCAGGTTATTGCATTGTTTTAAAACGAGTTATAATCGATTGATGTAAATTTGTATGGCTGGTCGTACGGAAAAGAGTTATTAGCTGCATATATCTAGAACTCTTGAAATTATTACAAAAGAACCGATTTTCTTTACTTTAAAAACTTCAAAGATAGGAAAAAGTATATTAAATTTACGTTAATGATCCTGCACCTTAACAATAAACTTAGTTTCTGTGAGCACAGATGTGTACAACAAGATACAGAACTATTAATCAATTTTAAAAGTATAAAAATCGCCCCTTTAAAAATTTAAAACCCTTTATTGTAGACAAATCAATCGTCGTGTCATCCATCCAATTCGCATTTTTAAAATCTAATCCGTATTAGAGCAGAACTTCAAAGCCCAAGACTAATCTAAACAAATACCACTCACTCTCAATTCCACATACCAAAAAGAGAATTAGGGATGGGTAAAAAAGTCGATACCAAACACAAAATATCAACTTTTAAAATATAATATGACTATGAATATCAAGTATCATTTTTGGATTTGAAAATATCTGGTTGGTTTGAGATAAAACTGATTTTTCAGTTTAGATTTATTTGTATTTATATAAAACTAGCGTAATTAACAGTTTTAGCAAGATCAAAAATATCATTCATTATTCATCAAGACTCTAAAATTAACAGCTTCATCCTTATAGATACGGATACTAAATGGCAAATTGTTTTTGTACAACAATTCCAAAGTGTTTTTGTAAAAGAATCAACTAGTAATTGAATACGCCACTCCAACGCCTAACAAGCTCCAATTATGAAGCTGAATTCACCACCGTTTAATTTATGCCAGCAAAAATAGAGAATTCCATAGGTTCGTTAAAAGTTGATAGAAGCTGTGAAGAAGAAAAGAAGAAGAGAAGCTCTCATCAAGAATGTTATTGTCATAGTCACCCCCATATTCAATAAAGGAATTTAAGTAGTTAGCTGGAAATTACCGAGTGATCAAAGCAAAAACATAATATAGTAACAAGACTAGTGTCATTTAAAATTTTTGATATTTTTTTCTAACGAACCAAGTCATGCCAATTGCACAATATATTTTATTCTTCCCCGGAGGTCTATCACAACCAACCACCAAGACTTCAGCAATGGACTTTGGCACATGGCAACATGCGACCCGCAGAAGTTAGTTACCTGGACTTTGAGAAGGTCTTCGATAACATCCCAACTATTTAATTTACAAATTGGAATATGATGGTTTGATGATGGTGTTAGGGGAACATATTTTAGCGTTGATAAATGCATTAGTAAACTAAAACACACCGGAAAAATCTAGGGATATCATTTTATTAAAATTAAAAATAAATGTTTTGAATAAACAACCACATATTTCTAGGCCGATTCTTTCTACTTCGATTGAAACGAAGAAGTCACATGAACAATGGGCCAATGTTCTCTTCACGGATGAGTCACGCTTTGGAATTCATCCGGATTCGAGAAGGCTTAGAGTATGGAGAGAACCAGGAAATCTTATTCGGTTGGATCATGTTCAGGAAGTGCACCCTTATCAAGGTGTAACAATTATGGTCTGGGGAGGAGTCCAGTTAGGCCGAAAAACCGATCTCGTTTTTCTTCATAGGTTTCTAACAGGAATCACATACCATGATTTAATTCCTGAGCCTGTCGTGTTACCATATGCCAATAATTTTGGGAGAAAATTCATTCTCATGCATGACAATGGACGGCCTCATACAGCCAGAGTGGTAAGTGAGTTTATCAATGCTCATTAATTAAATATCTTACCCTGGCCGGCACAATCTCCTGACCTCAAGCCCATCGAGCACGTATGGGACGCGGTCCAAAGAAGAATTTTGAGAATGGGTATGCATCGTGAAACTCGTAGGGATCTGGTTCGGGCCGTGAATGTAGCGTGGCAGACTGTACCTCAAGAAGAGATCGACAACCTGATCAGGAGCATGGAGAGACGATGTAGGGCTGTAATAAACAGTAGAGGAGGCCATACCCTTTATTAAGTAAAAATGGTTTTATCTTTTTTATTTTAATTCACAGCTTAGAATAAAAAAAAATTGTGTATTTTTCTGAGTTC